TGGGTTTTGAAATGAAATACTATTCGTATGGATTCATCTTTTCAGTCTGATTTCATGGAATGATCCACTGTCTTCTAATGGTTTGCAAGTTTTGAATAAGGCTTTAGGGATCGATTTGTTGGACATGATCGAAATAATCAAAAAAAAAATCAAAAAAAAACGCACTTCCACTGTCTATACGAAGTGTATCAATTAATAACCGATTTTGTTTTGATTGCACTTTTTGACGAGAAAGCAATATGGATCATCGGAATGAAGAATTACAGCATGGAAATGAAGAAAATATGGATCGGATTGAACATCAACCATCCATAAACAATGATATGTCCTTTGTAATTTCTTCTTCTTCATCTCCATCATCTGATAACAACGAAAACAATCATAAAACATCGGAATTAAATACGGTGGAGTCCAAAACCATGGAGGACTCTATCATGTCTTCACCATCTAACCCTTTTTCAATATCAACGAGTGCTGCAACACCATCAAAAGAAGAGGAGAAAAATTCTTCTTCACCAACTTCAACTGCTTCCTCAAACACCCCTCACAACATGAATCCTAACATTGATCCAATGTCGATGACCACACCAATTTCAGAAAACAAAAACATGACTCCAATTTCCATCGAGTCAGGATCAAGCGCAAGCACCACTGGAGGCAGACCAAGTTTGGGACCATTCGAATTACTCATGCAACGACTACAAGGCAATATTTCTAACGAAACTTTAGGAAATAGTATTAATACTGCAATACCGATTGATGAAAACAGTAATGATTTTAAATTGACAAGAAAAAACCTTATTCAAAGTAGTAATAACCAGAATCAACTAAGCTCCTTTAACTCTCAGCAATACTGTATCGACCTTGTGGATGATAGCGAGTTAGACCATTTGAAATTTTCAAATTCCTTAACCACTCACAACAACCAACTTGAAGCTGATAGCAATGGTAATAATAATTCATTTTCTTTCGGATTTTCGAGCTTTCCAAATATCAAACTATTGGACAATCCCTTGGGATCTTCATTTTTCACAAAGAAAGAAGACAAGCCATCATCAGGGTCGTTGGAAGTTTTAGACTGTACAAGATCTAATGGGATTATAAATTGTTCTCAAGATGAATATGAATATGAATCTGAAAAGGAAGATTATGAACTGAAAAACATGTTGGACACACAAGATATTGAAGATGCCATTGGATCACTCATGGATGGCATGTCTGACGAGCAAAAACAAGTCATGGAGAAGGTGAGACGAGGAGAATCCGTCATTGTGACAGGAGTTGCTGGAACTGGCAAGAGCTATTTGCTTCACAAGATTGTTGCAATGTTAAAGATGCTCGAAAAAAACTTTGCTGCTACTGCTGCTACCGGAATAGCTGCGGTCAACATTGGAGGCGTCACACTTCACAGTTTGCTCGGTTTAGATCCAGACGGAAACTGCAATGCAATTTGGGGAAAGAAGAAAGACATTAAATCCCTCGAAGTGTTAATCATTGATGAAGTAAGCATGGTGAGTGCAGAATTATTTGAGGTAACAAGCTTTTTACTTTCGTTAGTGCGCTTCTACTCAGACATCAAACGACAACACAACTTAAGCAAAAAACGATCGAAACAAATCAAACAGTCCATGGAAAGAATTTATGATCAACCCATTCCATTCTATTTAGTAGAACGATTTACCCTCTTTGGAGGTAAACAACTGATATTATCAGGTGACTTTATGCAGCTGAATCCCGTACCAAGAAGGTTCAATGATTCAGAGGGTTCCTATAATAATTATGGAAAAGACAAACAATTCATGTTCCAATCTCCTCTCTTTTACAAAGTTTTTAAACCTGAAAATATTATTCTGTTGAAGCAAATATTCAGACAAACTGACCAACCTGAGTTTTTGAAAGTGCTAGGTGAAGTAAGAACTGGAAATATATCTCCAGAGACAATCGTTTTTCTCAAGAAATTACAACACAATAATTTAACGAGTGTGAATGGTGTATTACCTACCATGCTGTACACCACCAATAAGGACGTTGATAAGGAAAATGATTATCATTTGAACACACTCACCACCGAACCTCATCACTTTGATACAGAAACCATTGATCTGTTTAGAAATATTCCCAAGAATATGTACAACCAAATCAAGAGAATTTTGGACAACCAAATTCCTGAATCAATTGTTCTAAAAGTTGGAGCTCAAGTCGTATTGACCAAAAATATTGACAAGAGACATGTCAATGGATCAAGAGGAGTTGTTATTGGATTCAAAACTTTCGGAAAACTGCATATTGAAGAATGGCAAAAACATCGATTTTCTCGTTTCTCTCCTAAATGGAGATTCAACATAACGGTACCACAAGTTCGATTTATGGATAATTCAACTTCTTACATTCCACCTTGTGTTTTTCGAATTCATGGACCAAAAGTGAATGGATCAGAAACAGAAATGTGGAGAATTGGATTTCCATTCAAATTAGCATGGGCGATCACTGTCCATAAAAGTCAAGGTATGACTTTGGATTTTTGCAAAGTCAATCTCTCTACCATATTTTGCCCTGGTCTTTGTTATGTAGCATTGAGCAGAGTGAGAAAATCTCAAAACTTGCAGATTGTAGATATTAATTGGAAAAAGCTGAGTTATGTCAATGCAGATTCTAAAAAGTTCTATCAAGATTTGAATGATAACTGCCTTCCTGCCCACAACAATAACAATGGAATGACGACAAGCTCAAGTAGCAGTTACAATACTCTCATTGATACATCACCGTTAAGGAAACGTGCGTTTGACGACCAAACACATCCTTCTTCTCAAAACACCTTAGGTGATACATCAAGCTGCAGCAAAAGTGTTGTATTTGGATTCAATTATGCAACACCTTCTCAATCACCAATATCATCATTGCCAAGTCCAACCCAACTTTCTTATCAGACCCCCTTCAAGAAAGTCAAACAAGAACAACCATCAGAATTCAACTCTTCTCAAAACTCTCAACAGTCAACAAAGACAGAACTCAAATCAGAAACGATGGTGTTGTGGTATTGGCAAAATAACAGTAATTGGAAATTGTATGATAATTTATCTCAACAAATTGAGGATGCCTATCAAGAGTATAAACAAAGTGGAGGTCATCCAAATAAGCAACAATTCAGCGTGAGTGATATGCACATGATTGACTTTAAACTAATGAAACAAATTAACAAACAAGAATCATGGAGGACAAGAAAGGTAAAAAGAGATGAACAATTCATTACCAAATTATCAAAGGTTGAACAGTAGCTCAACATATTTTAATAAATTAATGAGAAAGTTAATATAAATATTTTGGATGATTATGAGAGAGAAAATAGGAATCAATAAATGGATGAATGTGAAATTCCAATTCAATTATTTGTCCTCACCATCGCTATCGTTTTGAACCTTATAATTCACACAATGCCATGTATTATTCAAAATGCCTCGAATGTTCCAAATGCTCTTCACATCCTCTGGCTGAACATTGTATGCAGTATCGACTGCTTTGGAGCAAATTTTCATTTCTCCCGTACTTTTGTGTTCATCACTCACTGGAACTTCCACTTTCCACAAAGACCATGCATAGTTTCTATTATACTTCAGAGGTTCGCGTTCCATATCCGCAGAGTACCATGTTTTTCCATTATCTGTAGTTACGTCCACCCGTTCAATTCCATTTCCTGAACCAGCTAAGGCATAACCCTTAACAATCACAGTGTCATCCTTAATTGGAATGTTTGGAGATGGGCTACAGATCGAAGATTGCACAGGAGCATCATGCACAGCACTTGCTTTTGAAAAATCTGCTGTGTCCCAATCGACAGAGGGAGCAAAAGTTTTGTAATCTTTTGTTGCCACACAGATTGACATTCAGTGTCACTTAACACAATTTTTGTGACCCACTGTAAAAATGTTTGTAAATGAATACAGTCAATCATGACATTTTCATGAAAGTATCACCATTATAGATGAACAAATTTGGAAACAATTTTTCTTTTCATACTTACTTTCACATTTCTTGCACCGATAGCTCCAGGTACAATGGCTCGAACAGGATATCCGTGATCAATTGGAATGTCCTCTCCATTCATTTTGAAAGCCAATAAAACATCTGCTTTGTCACTCATGGCTCGATCCACTGGAATTGAAATTGCATAACTTGAAATACCATCTGTATCAGCTCCCTTAAATTCCACATGTTTAACTTTTCCTTCATTCAAAATTTTTTCTTCTGTAATTCCGTACAATTTTAACACATCAATCAATTTGACACCTGTCCATTGTGCGTTTCCAACTGCAGCATTGGTCCATCCAAGACCTCGTGGTGGCTTGTAACATGACATTTCTGTTCTTCTATTTCCTGCACATTGAAGAGCAACTGTCAAGGTGTGATGTTTGAGCTTTTCATTGTTTTTCAAATCATTCAATGTGAGCTTGATTGGGGTTTCTATTCCTAATCCCGAAATTTCCAACAAGTAGGTGTCTGCATCAAGTTTTGGAACTGGTAAGTGATTTCTAATGAAAAATACTTCGTTTGGAGTAATAAATTTGTCCACCAAAATTGAAGGAGGTGTCTCCGCATTAAAAGGTTTATCCATATTCACCTGAAGAATTGGATTTCTATTTTTGGGATCATTGGCATAAATATCATTTGCATTCTCTTGAGATGCTTTCAACTCATTCAATTTCTGAACATCCTTTGGATCCAATTTTCCAATTTTATATTGTTCCAAAATTTCATAAACTTCTTTCGTGTGATGTTGTCGATAAATTTCCCAAAATGGTTCAATGGACTTTCCAGATGCAAGCATGATTTTTTCTGTTCCTCCTGGATGTGCCTCAATAAATTCTGTCACATCATAGACACCTCCTTTAAAGATGACCCAAATACCACCAGCTTGCTTGGAACAATGTTGAGCCACTTGATCCAAAGTGAAATATTGTAAATTTTCTGTTTTTTGAGACTCGTCCAAACTGTTGGATTCCTCAGCATGTAAATGAACAATCATTCCATGAGAATGAGAATCAACTTGTTCTTCTTCTTTTGAAATCATCATGATGGTTGCATTTCCCAATGAGATTAACAAAAATAGTAATAAGGACGTTGGCAGTTTTTCCAGTAGCGCCATTTTTGCTCGTTGTTGAGAAGGTGAGCCTTCTTCGGAACTCTTTTCCGACTGTGAAGTATGAAAGGATAGTATTGAAGATTCCAATGCTTGATTCATCATCATGGAATTATTTCTTTTTTACATTTTTGGAGTTATTTGAAGAAGAAAATGGAGAGGACTGATTTCGCGTAGGTGATGCTTGTATTAAATCCGATTCGGATGGTGATGAGTGGAACGAATTGATCATCCTTTCCGATCCGAGCTTGGATGGTTTGAATGGAGAGGTGGTGGTTTTGTTCTTGTTAGTGGTGGTAATAGGTTTCGAGAGTATGGATTTTGAAAGTAGCCATGATGATGATGATGATGGATGAGGATGGCCATGAGAAAGAATCTTTTCGATCTTGTGGAGGGAATGCATTTTTTTTGAGGATGATGATGGCCGTAACGGTGAGATTTCATTTACAAAAATTTAAAGGAGGTCAATTTTTAATAACGGCGAATTTTCATCTGCCCGAGAATGATTGACACTCGACATCCATCAAGGAATGAGAAAATGATTGCTGGAGAATTAATCAAACCTATTTAATGAATCAAGACAAAACACGGAGACGGACTCAATGACGTACAGAAAGAGTTGAAACCTCTAGATAGTAATGAAAAATTGACCGAAAACAGTAGCAGGTTTACACTTTACTTGTTTGTCCTTCTACTACTTGCTGTGAATGATGCAAAACTTCATCATCATATAATTCAATCTCTTCTTTTTCAATGGTGGGAGAAAAGGTAGAATTATTGGTGGCCGTATTGTCGTCATGATGATTTGGTTGGCTTGAGGTATCTTCCAAGATGTTGTTGTTTTTGGATGATTGCTCTTGTGGATTGGAGATGGTCACATTTCCAGTATCTTGAGCTCTACTTATTCTCACACAAAATATCATAAAACCAGACAAGACTTGCAGAGAGGCTCCCAAAGTATATAACAGCAAATATCCCATGCCTTTGATATCTGGAGCAATAGAGTCACCTATCAAGATAACGAGACCTCCTATTGGAACTCCCAACAATTCTGGAATGGTTCCTGAAATATTCCATAAAGCCAAATCCTTTCCTGAATCATCTTTAGAAATGAGCACAGAATTCACGAGTGACAAATCCACACTAATGAAAGACCCTATTCCTAGACCATATAAAATTGAGCAACACAATACCATGACCGTGTATGATCTGAAAATAATAAGGACAATACTGGCAATGCCAACCATGAGTGCTCCACCACTATACACAAATCGTCGTCCAATAATGCTAGCAATTTTCTGAGCTAATAAGGCGCTCACAAAAGTAAACAAAAAGACAATTCCCAAAAAAAGTGACAATGCTTCTGTGTCTGTGGTTGGAAATTTGTCAGTAATAAAGTTGTATGGTTTCAATACGTCATGAATAAAGTAAAGAAAATAGTTCTTGGCAGCTGCATTTGTAAGTTGGATTGTAAAACGTGTCACAAACACCCAAGTAAAATTTCTATTTTTGAAAGGAATCAAGAATTGCATAATGTAAGAAAGAGCACGTTTGAAGCGTGAAGGTTTTGGGGGAGGTGGGGATGGCATTGGAGTAGCATCTATCATGTCTGAACTGTTGTTATTGTTGGCTGCTGCATTAGAGGTGTCATTTAATGGAATGTCCTCAAATTCAGAAACTGCCTTGGCAGCTTTTTGTATTTCATTAATGGGTGGCTTTCTAAGCTCTTTATGGAAGAGAGCTAATGGCACACATACGAAGGTACAAAGTGTGGCGTATCCCAAACATACCCAAATTAAATCGATATGACTCACAAGAATTCCTCCCAGAACAACTCCAAGCAGTGTACCAATTAATGTAAATACACCAACAAGTGCAGACACTAAATTGATTTGTTCTTGTGGGAACAAATCTGTAACCATTGCAGTAATAATTGCTTGGGATGTGACATAACCAGATTTTCCAAAACACAATACAATGGTATATATCACCACAATAAATATGTAATATTTAGGAAATTGAGTGTGCATCATGGAACAAATAGCTTGTAGCACAATAGATAAGGCCCAAAGGAGTGTTGCAACCACCACAATGGGAATTCGAGTTTTTCGTCCAATACGATCTGAAATATTTCCCACAACCGGTGAGACAGCACTACCAATCACTGTTGCAATGGTCACAATAATACTCAAATGGAGAGCCTTATTTTCTTCTCCAAGAAATTGAATAACCAGATTTTGTAAAAGTATTCCCAATACAAGAGAGCTTGTAGAGCCACTTCCGATATAATAGATACAATAAGCGAGAGTTTTGTAAAAAGGTTGTTTGGGATGATCTGTTGCATGATGGTGAAACGAATCCAGTGTTGGATGGTGATGTTCCATATTGATGGTGATAGTGGCCAGTGGAGATGGAGGTTGTTGTTCCTCACCAACGCCCACATGATGGATGTTTTCCGAAGTTGTTGTAGCTGTTGCTGCTGATTTGGTGGGCCGATCTTTGTGTGTTTGAGGAATCGAGACTGCTGCTGCTTCATCGTCATCATCCCAATGTTCGAGTTCTTCTTTCACAGCATCCAGTAAAGGTTTTTCGTTAGGATTGAGAGGCTGTATAATGAATGTGGATGAAAGAGGGTTGTATTCAGTGATAATACGAGGATTGGATCTTTCTTCCAAAGTATTCTTACTTTCTCCTTTCGGAGGATGATGATGAGACTTTGAAGAAGGCAAATTTGACTTGAAACTACTACCATGATTGATAGCATTAGTTTTTCCACCATCATTCACACTCTTTGAGGAAGTAATGTTTAATGAAGTGGTTAATTCGGATGATAATGTTGTAGTTGTAGCAACAGTAGCAGGTTCAACGAATACGGAACTATTGGCAGTTGTTGTTGTTAATGGTGGTTGAGAAGATGGTGTTGTTGTCGTCGTCGTCGGGAGAGAAAGAAGTTCATTTGTCTGGGAAGTATTACTATCATGACTCGGCACCAAGTCTAATGTGGACATGTTGTTATTATGTTGCATCGGAGTGTAAGTGGTATTCGGAGGAAGGGACGATGGAGAGGAGGGTAGCGGTGATGAACTCATTTCCATTCACGTCGTTGTATAATTCTTCCAAAATGTAATCAATAATAATAAATCAATGATGAAGAGAGGTAAAGTAATGATGAAGAGAAGAAATTAATAAATAATAATATATTTAAAATGCTGTTTTGGGATCCTGATGACAATCTCTAAAACACCATGAAATAAAATTGAATGGAGGATGACTTGTAAAGTGTTGATGTTTTTTTTGGATCTGAATATTCTCGAAAGTGTGCTCTTTCGATTTCGAAGCAAGTTGGAAGGAGGTGTTGTTTTTTAAAAGACATTCTATTCACGGTTTTTGTTTTACACTAAACAGAGTCTCCTTGTATTCTGTAATAGTTCGATTAACAATGTCCACGAGGGATGAGAAAAGAGGAGAAAGATTGGAAATTGCAAAATTAATTCTTTCAAACCTCTGACAAAATCAGAATTTCGTTCCATGATTTCTAAATAAATAATTCCTTTTCATCTTGCAACAAAATTCAAAAGAAAAGCCATGAATTGATGACGCAGCAAAATACATGTCTTAACTATCGAATGATCAACTTAGCCAACATGATTTCCTTACTTACAAAATACAGTTAGGAAAATTAGGCGCCTTTGCATAAAAAAAATCATCATCACGAAAACCCATCAGCATCGCATCCCAAACACAAACCAAACCTTAAATGATGAAGAAAAAAAGGTTAAGGTTTTTGATTGTTTAGTGAAGAATGTGGAAGAAGAAGATATGTGTTTCTTCTCTTCCAAAAAAAGACCAAAAGAGAAAGCTGATAAATCTCACTTTCTTGCAACGGCGAATGATTTGAAGGAACATGATGAACATTTCTGTTCTCTTAAAAAGAAAAAAATTCAAAAGGTGGAAGCATTAACATCCATCCAAAATGTCTCTCTTTCCGAGGTTTTGAAAAACATACCCACATACTCTAAAATCGATCTGTTAATCAATTCAATAACTAACCTTGAGAAAGTAATAGCTGAGCAAGGGATAATCATTGCCAACCTTGAGAAAGTATTAGCTGAACAAAGGATAATCATTGCCAACCTTGAGAAAGTATTAGCTGAACAAAGGACAATGATTGACAACCTTGAGAAAGTAATAGCTGAACAAGGAAAAACAATTACTAACCTTGAGACTAAAATAGCCGACCATGAAAAAAAAATAAGCACCCTTAAGGTCAACACTATTCAAAAATTCTAAAACCTGATATGTTCTGAACGTAGTGAAAGGCATGAATGATTCGATTGTAAACAATTAAAGAGTTTGGTTGAGCTTGAAAAATTTTTTCCATGCTCAAAAAATTTTCTGCATTTTAATGAAGTCTCTCTTTGCGTGTTGCTTAGTGACTTCCCACCCACTTGCTTTCTTAGGCTTATTCAAGTACCTTTTGCGCTGATCGGAATGTTTTTGTGGTAAGGAAGAACATTGTGACAGTGCAGGTCCACCTTGATTCGAATCTTTTCGGCAAGGATTTTATTGAGCTAACTATATATTTTTATTATTTAATTTTCATTTATTTAATTCATCATGTTTTCATGATTTTCATGGATTTATCAATCAATTGCTTAAATGTGACCTCACATCATGGAGCCTTTGTCTCTGCCGCCTAACTGTGACTTCTTGCGCTTCTCATCATGTATGTAACGACATATTAAGGTCGGGTGTTTGGAGAGACCACAAACCCATTAGTCCTTCCTTTAATTAACAAACGAATTTTATTGTTTACTCTTTCGAAACATTCAAAATCTAGGAAAGGGATGTCTTAATGACGAAGACAATAAGGACAGAAATTCTATAATACTCCGATCTTTTTCAGGATGGATTGTGAAATACCTCAGTCAAATGGTATTTAAAGCTTTACAATTAACCATCGAGTCCAAATCCAGTAGGATGTAATGAGGACCATCCTGGCTGAATGGCTGTTCGCTGTAGATTTGATAGGGCCCTCTCTTAATTAGATATCCTTAATTTTAGCAAAACCAAAAGTCAAGTTTTTTGTGCGCAGAAAAACAACTATAATCTTCAAACAGGAGAGAACAGTTCTATTTAATATATTAAAATATAATAACAAATAAATCATAAGTAATCAGTAATTAACAATGTTTCAAATCATGCAGTTCATTTTCTCAAAGCTTTTAATTCCAAATTTGTGAAAAACAAATTTAGGAGCTCTTAATTGAAATTACACTTTCTCTCCAGTTTGTGGATCTCAAGTGGAAAAAATCGTGATTCTCGTTGTCCAGCCGATTGGATTGATTTGACATGACAGTCCTGTGAGAACTGCAGTCTGGAATTTATTGAAGGCAGCCATTAAAGATTTTTCAAAGAGTTTCTAATATTGATAAGAGTTGGACAGAATGGACCTCAAACAATTTCAGAACAGATTTGAGAGTACATACCAATGATAAAAACAGAGGTGATACTTTTAATAAAAAAAGCTTGAAGAAAAAAAGCGTTCGGATGAAAAAAGGCTACAGCACTGTAGGTTCCCAAGTTGTCTCCAACCTCAGTACTAATGCAGCTCGACGGTGCTTAACTTCTCAAATCGGACGGGATGAGGTGCATTCATCGTGATATGGCCGTTGCCATACATGTACTTAAATTCATTCGTATCAATACTCAATTCCATTCTCTGAATGACAGAAACAACCACCTGTTTCACTTCGTTGCTCCGGACCGAAATAACGTTCGCTGTCATCAAATCTCGATGTTGAAGTTGGAATTTGGAATGGGAATTCTCATCTTGACACTTTCGATTTCGTTCATCTGCTTGTTCACCTTTTTCTTCCGCATTTTGAGCTTGTTGCTATTTGGATGAAGTGTCGGAGACAGTCTCATTAAGCGATCTTAATTAAAATAAATTTTTATATATGTAATGGGGTTGTAGATCACATGGTAGATCGTTCCCTTAGCATGGGAGAGGTACCGGGATCGATACCCGGCAACTCCAAATTTTTTAATGTTTAGCTTTTTCGAATTCAATGAAAAAGTCGTCACTTAATTAACTGGTGATTGAACAAAAACGTTTATGGAATACTCTATGATTTATAGATCGTCACGCAAAAAATTAAACAGTTCTAATCTCATATCTTCCAGAAGTGGTCAAATACCTCACACCCTTAAATGGCTTATAATTTTCATTTCTCAATTGTACACTGTCGACCTTCAATCCTGACATGGAAACTCCATCTAGTTCAAATTGAACCTGAACAGCAGGGCAAGAGTGAATTTCATGTTCAGATTTTCCTGACATTAATGGGAATGTAATTTTTCCTGACAAGGATGGTGTTGGGGCCTTCGATTGTTGAGTTTGTGGACTCAATTTACCAATATTCCAAACCAAACATTGTGAATTTGCATCATAGTGAATTGATCCAACAGATGTTGTTAATTGTTGACTGTCAGTAGGAGGAATTGGAATTAACACTTTCACATTGTCCAATGATTTGTTGTGTGTATGTCTCAAATTGAGCATTACATTCACATTTGCTCCTCCTCTATAGAATGTAATTTGAGGTCGGCAATAAATAGGAAGCATAGGCAAGTTGGACATACGGTAGGAGAGTAATTCATAATCTCCATCAGGTGGAATGAATGAAATGGATTTATCCTGTTCATATCTAGCGTAACGAACACAAGGGTGGAATGAAATATCTTCAATAATATTAGGGTCATTGAATTGGAGCAACAAATCAGGCATTCCAGATAATTTACAACTTGATTTGATAATTCCGTAAACTTCAGAAACAGCGGAACCACCATTCACATCGACAATGACATTGAGAGTTTCCACGACATCAAAGTATACTTCATTGTTCATATACTTGATTCCTCCCTTACGCCATGGAACAAGAGCCTTGTTATGCCCGGCAATACCAAGACTGTTTCCTTTCCCTAACTCTGCTGTCAATTGTTTGGCTATGGAAGCTGGTTGCCGAACAAGATCTTTCAGGAGAGAAATTTCAGTGGTGATTGGAAATCCTCCATCAACCATTTCATCAAGAAGCTTTGTCGTGATTTAGAGAAAATCGTGTGTTGTGAATTGTGAAATGTCCAATGATGTTGTTGTTGTTGTTTTTGTGGATGTTCGAATATCATCATCATCCGGTATTAGATGATCATTAAATGTATGTTATTCCGTAGTAGTAGGTATGACAGTGTTATCATGTTGAAGAGGTAAATGTACACCCCAATATCCATAACAGGATGATCCAAGAGAAGAATATTATTGGCCATCACAGATTATATGTTTTCATCAGAGAATTGAAAGACCACAGAAGAGAAATAGAATAACAATGTATCCGATGTACATTGTTCATCCGTATGATTTCGATAATGATGATGATGATGATAAATTTGGTTTCATGTAAATACCGGAGAGTGGACCACTTACCTGATAGACCACTACAAAGTTATTCTTCAAATTCTGCTCATTCACCTTCTCAATATAAATCTCCAAAGTATCAACAATACGATGCAACATTTCAATAATCATCAAAGGCTGATATTCCTTATCCACCACACCAAGAAAATACAAGTTATTACGAAAGACATGAACGACATAATATTTAGATGTAGAAATAATTGGAGAAACATTAGAAACTCCTCCTTTGTGCTGTTCCTTCATAACCTCTGTATAGAACTGTTCCGCAACACTTCTGCTCACATTTCCTAAGAAATGTCTTTCAATGATGATTTCTCCGAGTTTGTCGAGGATAAAGAAGGACTTCATTTTTTTTTGTTTGTGGAAAAATCTTTTTGGGTGAGTTGGAATCTCACTTGGTATGTTCTCCTCCATAAAACACACCAATTGTCGTCATCGGTTGGAATGCTTTTTGAAGAAGAAAAGAGTGATTTGTTGGCCAGGAGACCCGTAAGGATATACGTCACTTGTACAAAATGAAAATTGATAGGCCTTAGCAATATGAAAACTAGGTGTAACTGTGGCAGCTATCGTTTAGAAAGGTTTCACTCAATTGTTTGGGATTTTCCAATTCTTATTCCACCATCAAAAGTGTTCGAATGGAGTATGGTGAAGAGACTTACCTCACTTTCTTCAAACATTAGGGATGGATTGTTCAAATAATGTTCCTTTATTCAAGGACTCTCCAACCATTCATTGTACCCAATACAACTATCGATTCGATCCAACCATCATTTGGAGCTCTTGATATTGTGGCAAACAGAAAATGCATTCTTGTGACTTGCCAAATCATGCAAACGAACAATGTGCTCTCTATTTAATACCAACGCTCTTAGACGATGAATTTAAGGGTGTTAGTCAATCAAGAATATGCTGAAAGACATCCTATCACATCTTTTAAACTCAAATCTTATCCACAAGTACATAGAATGGTACACCTGTCTACTTCACATCAATCCACTCTTAGGTTCTTTCAAGAGATTCATTTTGAAATCACAAGCCCATTTGTTTCTATTGTTGTGGTGGTCGACATTTTACTTATTTGAACAAAGAGCTAGAGAAGATCAAAGTCAAGTCTTGAAATGTAACGAATTTATATTGAAGATGAGAAGAAGGAAGGCCTGATGAGAGTACATGTATTATATATTCAATAATGAGGCACACCAGGCTGGTATTATTATTGACTAAATTGGACTTGTCAAGCTAGTACACACCAGTTGTGATCTTTGAACATTTTCTCCTTAATGGATTTCGGCGTTTCCTTGTCAAGACCTTTTCATGTATACATACAATGCTACTGAACAAAGTAAAGCCAACTAGTTCGAAAGAAAATCACACCAGACTCTAAAGACTTGACCCCTTCTGTGTGATTTAAATTATTATTCTTATATATAATTTACTAATAACCACATTTAAGAAAAATGCAACTGGTCGATCAACTGAAACAACACTCACCGACCCTTCTTCTCTTACTCACTCTCATCATTGCCATCTTTGTATTCAAGAAATTCATTGGATCTGTTGCCAGCGATGAAGAGATTCGACACTACTTACGAGAAGGAGCTTTAATCATTGATGTAAGGAGTCGTGGAGAGGTTTTATCAACGGGACTCTTTCCTGGAGCCATTCATATTCCTATTGGCGAGTTGGAGGCTTCTTCTTCACCTCATAAATCTCTTCCTCGAGATCAGGAATCGGCCAAAATTATTGTGTATTGTGCTTCGGGAATGAGAAGTGCCTCGGCACAAGGCTTGTTAAAGGAGATGGGATATCGGAATGTGGTGAATGCTGGAGGACTTTCTAACATGATGCGGTTTAAATAATTTATAATGATTGGATTTTTATGATTCATAGGATCATGATGATGATGATTCGGTGCTCAATTTGTGGATGAAGAAAGCAATTTTACAAGCCATTCATGAAATAGTAATAGGATTATTTAATGATTATTATTTGAAATGATGACAATATATTTAAAGTATTTTATTTTTGAACCTAATGAAGATATTATATTTTCAATGTCAATGTTGTGAAAAGGTTGGAATTGTATCATATTCCGATCATCGACATTCAAGCTGCCTTCGAGAGAAAGACGATTCGGTTGAACAGTTGAATTTTAGAACCAGTTAAAAAAATCGCGGATCTTTATTCGACATTTTTGGTATTTGCGTCATCATTTCTTGTCATCTGCCAACACCAAAAAATACAGGAATGGGTTTATTGAAAAATAAACAAATTATAGGTACTCAATTGTCCGACGATAGTGTGTCTAATGGGTGTGTAGGTGTGAGGTGTAGATGTTGTTGGAGTTGAGTTCGCCAAGCTGACTGCTAAATGTTTCCCAAGCAGTTGCAAATTTTGCAGTTTTGGGTTTAATTATATATCCTCTAGCCTTCTTGAGTACAGTTGAACTGTTCCAAGTGGCGTTTTTGTAACAACTGCCAACATAGGCAGCGAATGAGAGATATATTTCATTTAGCCAATCAGTCAAAGCTGGGGGAGATAAGTCTAATTGTTGAAGAGGTTCGTCTTTGATACTACCATTCCAATCCATTGGAATACAAGAGAGAGAATGGTTTGAGGGAAGTCTGATAAGAGGGGCATTGAATTTGAGGGAACTGTTGTCCCATTTTGTGTATAATGATTTGATTTCCGGACCACACATGGTGCATGAGGTGAATACATGTTCCCAGTTGGCTTTGGTATTGCAAATGTGGCAATTAGGGTAATCTTTTCCGAAATTTCTAAGGATTTCTGCTTTGTGTAGGTGAGCAAATAATAGTCGTTGTTGGAAGGGTTTGAGTGAGTAATTGCTCCAAAAGGAGATGGTACATGGATGCCAGGTTCTATTATGGTCTAAGATTCCAAGGCCTGAGATGCTCATGGTTGATCTATCGTTGTTTAGTAATTCAGTTCTAGGGTCGACAGGGGTTTCGTATTCATTGACAAATGAATACCGTTCATCAATGTAATGGAGAGACCAATTATTTTGAGCCGCGATATTTTTCACGTGGTTCCAAAATGGTTCGTTAAAGGTAAGATCATTCCAAGCAGCCAAAGCAATATTTTTGGTGATGGTGGAGGAGGAGTTGAATAATCTAACTGCTGTGCAAATAGGTTCAATGAAGAATAAAGTAGAGGGGCGAGTAATACCAAGGCCCCCAATTTGTTTGCAATTAAAAATGACTGATTTTGATAATGTGTAATCTAATCCAATAGCCTTTCTGACAAAATTAGCAACCATAATATCTGCTTTGTCAAGAGAATTCTTATTGATTCCATTGAAACTACAGGCATATCTAGGCAAAGATATGATTTTGGACATTAATGTAGTGGTGATGCTGTTGAGATATAGATTAGAAGTTTTAGCTGATGCCAGTTGATTCGAGATTTTGTTGATTGGATTATCAGAGGACCAAGAAAAATCATTCTTAAAGGTACATATACCCCCAAGATATTCAATAGAAGAAGATGTGGCAATTATATCCTGTCTAATAGTGACTAGGGCCTTAGATAGTTTGGCTTTGGCTGTAATAGCTAAGAGTTTGCATTTCTTGGGAGCTAAAGCGAGTCCTATTTTCTTTAATTCACGGCCGAGGCTTTTTAGAGAGGAATTCATTTCGATCTTAGTATTAGCTATCAATAAAATATCATCGGCATATAATAATAAAAGGATGGTAATATTAAATATTTGAACTCCTTTAAGCTTTTCTTGTATGTTAGTTGAGGAGTTAATATAAAGATTAAACCATGCCGGGCTTGAAGGATCGCCTTGCGGAACTCCAACATTCGCATCGAAAGGGGAGGATAGAAATCCGTTGACTAGTACTTTCATAACGCTATTGGAGATCATGGATGTCAAGAGATTAATGACAGAGCTATGGAAACCATGTTTCTTGAGAATGCTGATAAATCTTTTATGGATTACTGATCCATAAGCATTTTTGATATCCAGAGCCATAGCAAATACTTCTTGTTTGTGCTGATATTTGTATGCAAAGGCAGTCCGAAGACTGATAAGGTGTTCTAATGTTGAACCTTTTTCATGAATCCTCGTTGCGCAGTGTGGATTAAATTAGCCTCTTCAAGGACATTCATGAATTGTTTGTTGATAATAGAAGAAAATAGACGATAGATCACGGATAATACAACTATAGGTCTAAAGTCTGATAATTTTGAAGGCATGTTGATTTTGGGTAATGGGAGTAGAATACCGATACCCAATTCTTTAGGAACCATTTCACTGTCAATTGTGTGATTGATACATTTTGCAAGTATTTGGAGCGAATTGTTGTCTAGAATTTTCAACAATGACACCGAAATGTTATCATAGCCAGCCATAGAATTTTTTGTCTTAGAAATAACTTTATCCAACTCTTTGGCAGTGATATGATGGAATTTCCATTGGGCTACAGTATTGTTTTTCTTGATTTCCGGGAGAGTTTTAGTCACTTCTTGTTCTGTATTAAACATGGCTGAAAAATGATCTACAATTGTCGAGTTATGGTTACTTTGGACTACATTGAATATAGAAGAACTGACTAGTTCTTTTCTGAAGGCATAGGAATACGGTTGTTTAGAATTAAGATTGTTAATTCTATTCACAAAGACCCGTTTACGGTCAGCCAATAAAGATCCAATAAGCTTGTTGAGTGAGGTTTTAGCTTCCTCTAATTTAGCCTTGACATTGTTGAGGCTAAAATTATTGTTCAAAAATGAGGCTAAAATTATTGTTCAAAAATGAGGCTAAAATTATTGTTCAAAAACTAAAATTATTGTTCAAAAACTGCCAACACCAAAAAATGCAACACCCTTCTCATCACTCAGCAACCTGTGTTCTTCTCATTTCCCTTCTTTCATTTTCCTTCTTCACTCTCTGTGTTGCTTCTCAAAACTCTTTCCATTCTTCCAAAATTTCCAAACTTTCAACAAGCAATCCTCTCCCGCTCCAACACTATTCCATTCTCGATTTATTATTTATTCAACAACAATATGAGCAAACAATATCCTCTCGTTACGAAGAAACGACAATTAATTTCTTTTCTCGAAATTTTATCGTTTATGGGTGGAATCATTTGTTGGTGTGGAAATTTCGGAACGGAGAATTTGGCTCCAATTTCACATCCGTTCAACAATTGGACAAGAAGAGAATTGCAATTATTGGAGATGGTTTGAAAGTATAGTTTGATGCGAGATTGCAAATGTTCAATTTGGAATTACAAGCTTTGAATGCTTCGAAAATCATTCCACAAAGTGTCGCTTCAATGTCTTCTATTTATATCGATTGTATCATGGGAAATCCAATGGAAATGTTTGATGTGTTTGTGACTGATATAGAAACCATTCAAAATGTGTTGATAAATCTTCCTCGAAATGGAAAATTGGTCGAATGGAGTGAAATGGAATTTTTACAGGAATTCTCAATTCCCACTCGATATGCTGTCACTTCCATTCCTCCCAATCAATTTTCTTCGACATTAGAAATTGAAGAGAATGTTTACAGGAAGAGAGATTTTTCTTTTTTAAATTCCACTTCATTCATTCCTTTTTTCAATGACAACCTATTAACCTTAAATGCTCGATTTGGAAATTTGGGAAATATTTCACTCACAGAAAGAATATTCCTAAAAGATTTTCTATTCAAATCCGTCTCTTCCAATCTCACTTTTTATCCCTACATTTCCTCTCAAAATTATGGAATTTACAAGACGGACAATTTCTCTTCCTTACATCCCCTTAATGAAATGTTTTGCCTTAATTCCATGACCAATGAATTCATGACATGTTCTGATTCCCTTGGATTTCCAGCTCGAGCAGTTTATGAAGCTTTGAATTATATTTCTCTTGTGATGGGTTTTCTTTTTTTGGCGGATTTTCAACAGTGTGGAAAACCATTTCGATGAAACGTCGACTGCTTGTTCCCTATTTGGTTCCATCCTTGGCCATACTGGTGTGTGCATTCTTCTCGGAAGGAATTAGAACTTATTGTCCAAGTATGCAATCATGTGTCATTTTGACCTTGTTGGGAATTCTTATTGGAATTTATGGATTTACTTTATTAAGGTTTTCTTATATGAGATATTTGTATCGATTGTTGGCAATGAATGAATCTTCGGAGAAACAAATCAAACTCCATCGAATGCTTTCGTCTGTTTTGTTTGGAATTATTGGTTCATTATGTTCTGGACTTTTATATGGACTGGTTTGGCTATTGATTGCCATTATTTACTTTTCCACAAATGAGTATAATCCAAAACCTCAATTAGGAATCAATATCATGTATGTGATTCAGGTTTTCATTCCATGTGTGTTAGGAATATTAATTTTTCTTGTGGACATTTTTGCGAATTGGAAGAAAATTCGAGAGAAGGGAATTCTTCATATCTTTACTTTTGAAGATCCATTTCATTTGAGAGTTGACATCTTGACACTCTTTGGAATTTTATGTTGTTTGATATTAATTGTGATTTTTAATGTGGGTTTATTGGGATCGGCTGCGCATGTGAGTGACATTCTGATAGCCATCTTGAAAAAGTTCACCCCCATATTCACATACATGTTGGGAGGTGGATTCACTGCCGTGATATTGGAATGGTTTCGACGGGCGCGCACTCGTTATGAGAAGAAATCCGAAAAAGACTCTGCAAAGGCCACTCAGTCAAGTAACGTTGAATCACTTCTTGAAGAATATTTGAAAGATGAAACCTTTCAAGAACTATTCACACAGTACTGCACGAAAGAATTTTCATTGGAGAATATTTTACTTTATAAGGAATTGCAAGAATTACAAAAAAAGAGTCAATCCCTCTCGAATGGAGAAATTTCAGAGGAGGATTTTCATCATATTCATGTGACATTTTTCAAAATTATTCAAAATATGAAGTGAACATGCCTTCAAAAGTCACTCGCGAATTGGAAACGTTATGGCCCACAATGAATCAAAAGAATTCCAACACTTCGAATTTGGAAATGACGGAAAAGAAGGAGTAGGTGACAGAAAAAATTCGCTTTTCCAAGTTTTACAACATCCTTCTCACTGATTTGCTCATGAATTTAAATGATACCTTTGAACGATTGAAGGACACGAGGGAATACAAGACGTGGAAGTTATCACGTGATTTGCAAAAACAGGGAGGAATTGCAAAGTGAGATTTGAATGACTGTTTTTCAAATATACCAACAAGAATGCATGTTTAAGGTGGTGTGCTTCAGAAACACTTCCGTCTTTCTAAAACTAAAACAAGTCTATAAGTGCTACCTAACTATGCTAGAATTATAATAATCCAAGTCTGATTTGGTCATTTTAGATAAACAATGCAGTGAACATGTCTGTGACATTTAAAAACGAACTTACCATGGTCATAGTCCAATGTAATTCTCATGTTCGAACTTGTTCAAATATAGGAAGGAGTAAAAAACAACAATTATCATATTGTAAATTCTTCCTTAATTCACACATGAGGATCGTCCATCATCATTTCATCCAAAGAGGATGAATCAGCTTCTGCTGGTGTGGTTTCTGTTTCTATACAATTACTCAAGTGACTACCACTATATTTTCCAAATGCACTCATAAATTGACCTCCATTCTCAGCAATTATTGCTTTTCTACTAAAATAATATTCTCTTTTTCGTTCGTTGAAACATGCAGCATTATTTCTCAATAATTGAAATGCCTCTCCATTCACTCTACTTGTATTCCAATCTGAAGCCCAATGCATTTGATCAGTTAATAATTGATCAATGGCCATTAAAATTGTAGAAATTACAAAGCATGGCTTCCATTCATTCAACGCCAATAACGGCAAACACACCTCGCTAGTCATTGGATGTACATTTGGATGATAGAGGGTATGACATCTCACTCTCGGAGGTTGTAAAGGATAATTATTTGAAAATATAATTTCAAATTCATGATGATACAGTGCAGTACATGGTTGTGATCTTCCGAGCGGCGCTACACTCGAATGGTTGCTATTCGTGATGATGAAATTATTTTGCTCAATGCCACCATTTCCAATAGCCGAATCAAATACTCTATACAACAAGGTGTCATACACTTGATGAGAAAGTAATTCTTTTGCTGATGAAGAACCTGTCATGATGAAGAATTTTGTATCGGAACAACCATTCTTATGTTCCCGACAACAAAGAGTCAACCGCTTTTTCCATCCCTCATCAAGATTATCAAAATCAGCAGCCATTCTCTTTGAAATAAATCCACAATGAAAGAGAGATTGGCGATGATGATGATTTCCTCCTTCGCCCAGCAGTAATTCCTGTTCATTCCCGATGGAACATTTCTCAAAATATTCCACTTCAGAAATTCCGAAACTACTCTGTTGTGGTTGTGGTTCATCATCATCAATGAGGATCGCCTTCATCAAACTTGGTGGCTCCAACATGAGTTTCTCACGATAGAGTTCAAGTCTTTTGGGTGAAAACATTTTATTTTTAGTTTGTCCCTAACTAACATCGCAAGTGTGTGTTCCATGTTCGACAACACAAGATACTAGTAGAAAGGAGCCAGCATTTATTCATTGTTGAGGGTGGTTCCATGTGTGTGAACATACTGTAGAAATGCTTTCTTGTCAATATTCAGCAACAGTGACCAATAAATATCTGAGAACAATCAAAAGGAGGCTCACATTTTCAGTGCTGACATTGTTAGTTTCTTGTTTGTGAAAGAACTTTTTCAAAGATGGAAGGAAGAGTGCAATGTGTTTGGTGGGCAGGATCTGCATGATTATTCTTTTTGCTGTTGGGACTATCTTTGAGCTTAATTTCTGAGCTTGATCGAATGGTTGACTTCATATTCATGCTGCGTTCTAAGAGTTGTTGCTGTTGTTCGTGGATTAATTGTTGCTCGAGTAATTTCTTCTTTCGTCGAGCTCGTTTTTCTCTCTTGGCTTGTTGTAATTCTTGACTCACGGATCGAAAAGGTGGCGTTGACGAAGTGAGTTCAGGTGAAGAGGGTGGAGGTGTGACAATGATGGGAAGGAAGTCACAACCGAAATTATCTGAGTTAACCTTCTTCATTGGTCGAATGGGAGACCCAGGTTCTGTATTCGTATTTGGAAGTGATTGAGATCGAAAGTTTCGTTGATTCTTTTCAGATTTGCCATAATCGTACAAGTCATCTGCACATGAATCTCCTTGTTGGGTTGAAACAACACCATTATTCTTCTTGACATAGTATTTAAGAAAGAGTGGTTGTGGGGGTGAATTGGTACAAGAAGAAGAGGACGTCGATGTATCACTGTCATAATCTTGTGATGAAGAATTCTGAGGTCCATTCTTTTTCGTCGACGTTGAGGAATGTCAACACCACTCGACGATTGTGTGCTATTATTCACTGGATCTGTAACACCACCACTCACAGCTGCTTTCTTAGGACTGTTTCTATTGTGATCACTCGAAGAAAGGAATGAGGACGTTGAAACCGATGAGTGTAACATGGAGGCCGATTCAACCATTTGTTGTTTTTGTGGTTGAAAGTGATCATTCATACTCGCTTTCAATTCCCTTGTGAGTAATGACTTTTCATAGAGTGAGAGACCAATAGCAGAATGACTTCGTTTCGAGCCATTCAGAGAGATGGAATCCGTATTGAAGGTGGACTCCACGGATGATTTCAATGTGGACTCTGATTCTCGTTTACATAAAAGTGCTGGTTTCTGCGTGGATTTGGTGGTGCAAAAAGATCGTTGTTGAGGAAGAAAGGAAGATCTCTTATTGTTACGGTTCGGAAAGTAACAAGTGGTTGTGTTGTCGAGCCAAATTGGAATGGATTTGGGTGATCCCTCAGAAGCAACAGATCCTGATCGGTGGGTGTGGTGGTGTGGTGGTGCTGGTGATGAATCAGTAGTGGTGGTGCTGTTGGTGCTGGTGTTAGTGTTGGTGGTGCCAATGAAGAGAGCTCTCTGTAAGGCTCGTTCTGCTTCTTCACCCTCGAGAGCTCTCGAATGGAAGTTGCTGTTGTTGTTGTTGTAGTTATTCTCGAGATCAAGCTTTCCGTCGTCGTCGTGAGGAGTGGATCGAATGGCTACAGAATTGATGCCGCCCATGGAATGACCAATTAATGATTAATTGGAATATACAAAGAAGGATGATGATGATGATCGACACAACGGCAATATATAGAATGTGAGTAGTGAATGAATAATATACAAGAGTGAATGGAATGGATTTGAGAAGTGGTGGAAATCTGTCGTCCTTTGTAATTGTGCTACTCTCGTGCACTCGGAAGTATGAATGGCGTTGTTTCAACAAAATCTTTAAAGCACCTTAAAGAAAAAACTCTTCTCAGTAATGACGATCACAGAATTCGTTGGAGGTGTTCTCAAAAACAACATGGAAGTAGATACAGTGCAGGATGAGGAGCGACTCATTACCGTTTCTGAACGATAGCACACACAGTAGTACGGCAGCAGCAGCGATGGGTGGCTAGCGAGAGAGAGAGAGAGAAACCGCTTTTTGGATTTTGTTTTTTTGAGATCTCTTTGGTGTTCTGGTGTGGTGTCTCTCAAAGTCTTGGTATGGAAAAAGAGATGATTTGGGGGGCACCGATTGGAGCTTTACTCTCCTGATTTGTTGGTGCATTGTCGGCGCTCTGCAGGAGTTTAGAGGCCTACACGAGCAAGATTCGATCGCGGAAATTTAGTTGCATAAAAGGGTTTTAATTTTTTCTTCTTTTGGCATATGACAGAAAAGCCCTTTAAGGAAACGAAGTGGCAACAATCAACCACAGCTACAGCTCACTTACAACAATCAGTTCCTCATTAAACAATGATAATGTTCTGAAGTTCGTATTTGATGTAACGAGTCACACCAAGTGCAATCTCAGAGTAGACATAGCTTGGATAGAGCTTGTCAAACACCACAATGACATCATTGTTGCCTGTCTCCTCATTCTTTTTCAACTCTACATTGAAACCTATTGAGCTGGCACCTAAAGTTTGTCGAACCAGATCATAGAATTTGATAATCGATTGAACTAAATTCTGATTGCTGATATCAACAACTTCCAGATTACTTGGAAGTATCAACTTTCTCGTGAAGGGATTAAAACTCATTTTAGAATCTTGAGCAGACTCGTTTTTCGTAGAGGTCATAGCAGTGGCTGGATTTAAGGAAGCTAAAAGGTTCAAAATTGAGCCAGCAGTAATATTAGTAATGTTGGTAATATTTGAAATACTAAGGGAAGATGATTTGGTAATAGCGGCTGCTGAATTTGCGATGGTTTTACCAATTTCCAGACCAACATGGACCAACAAGCTCGGTAACCAGAAGAATGGTAAATTCTTATCTCGGTACACAAGAACGCGTCCTTCAATAGCGGACTCTAAGGAGCTAGTCAGAGAGTACTTGGAAATAAATTGGCCATCATGCAAAATATTTGGGTCTATATCTTGAATATATGATAAATAGCCTTCATAAAATCGTATTATGTGACTGACTGGATCGAAATTCACCTGTTCTGACTTCCAGTCATTAACATAGTGGAAAGTAGCAGTAAAATTGTCAATGCTGGATTTGCTGAAAATATAACTATACACAGATGTGACATCATCAGCTCCTGCTTGCCACTCCTCACATCGTTTCTCGAGCTCTGCGTTCCACCACGGCTCCTTTGTAGTTGGTTTTGTGTTTCTATCCATGTCATAAACTTCATTTGAAGACTGATAATTCAAATATGCCTCCTTTCGCTTATGTGCTTTTCTATATTTTTTCATTGTTTGCATGGCGTGTGTTCTAACTTTAGAGAGAGTTTCAATTTTAGCAATTACTGATTTTGCATTTCTTATTTGATCTAATAGTTTGATTGTCTCTTCATATGGAATATCGCTTGTTTGTTTGTATTCGTAAAATACAAGATTCATGTCTGAGGGTGGTAATGGAGCAAATTCTGGTGCGACACCAAACATTGATATGGTACAACCTTGAAGAGATCTAATCTTTTGATTCATGAGTAAATCGCTATCACGATAGTGATAGTTGTAAAGTTCAAATAACGTTGAAAACTATCGTATGAAAATCGTGTAAAAAATTTAAGGTCACACAAATTTCTAAAGCTCAGTAACATACCAATTTTTCATGAACGGTATTTGAAATTAAGTTTCTACAAATTGGATAAAACTCCTTTTCAATATCTACCAATAGTTGTTCCGAGTTTGGAACATCTGCAGTAAGAGCCACCGAGAAGACATCTCGTACGAAAAAGTCCCACAACACTTTGTCACATAAAAACATGATAAAACTCTTTGTATCGTCAATCGCATGATAGAGCAGTGTGGCTTGATGCTTTCCAGAAACTGATTTTGAGTTCGATCCGATATAGTAACTTCCACAGAATATGCTGACAAAGAATGCAATAAAATTGGATATAAACTTGAAACTGGGATCTAAAGCAGAGGCAGAAATATCAGAAAAGGTTCCTGTCAATAACTGCGTAAGAATAGATGTAAAAGCTTTCCTTAATCTGTCGAACTGTGCAGACACGGAAGATATTCCCATTAGCTCATATCTGGTAGAACTTTTGCTGACTAGTTTCTTTGAAAGAGCGTACCGCTCTTTTTTCCAATCATCCCTAAAAAGCACCAAATATTGAGTCCACTTCAAATCAGATGCAGGTTTTACACATTCTGGGTCGTACATACTCATAGCTAATTCATCCATGTGCCCCATATTCTCGTATAACTTCATTGATTCTTGAATTTGGAATTGGAGCATATGAAGGTTTGTTAATTGAACATTTTTACAGGTTCCCTTGTAGTAGGTGCAGCCTTCAACTTTGTTGTCTCCATACCAAAAACCTTCAATAATGTCTCCATTAGGTAAATAAAGTTTTCCTTTACCCTTTCTTTGTCCTTTCTTGTACATTCCTTGGAAGTACGTGCCATCTCTATAATGATAAGTTCCAAAATAATGATACATGTCATGTTTCCATCCTCCACAATATCTTTCTGCAATATTTGGATAAATTTCAACTCCAAATCCATATTTTTGATTGTGTTTAAATGAGCCAAAGTACTTGGTGTTGGTCTTGCTACAATATAGCTCTCCCTCTTGGGTTCTCTCAAAATCTAATGAATTCCATTAAAATGTTAGTTGTTACATTATTATTAATTATTATTTGTTGTATGTAGATGAGTACGTACCATCAAGAGTATACATTATTTTTCCAACACTTTT